CCTCTGGAGGAGCTCATGGGCACTCCAGCTGGAGACTGTGACGATATGGAACCATGAATGCACAGAGTACATTTTTAAGAATTTGCCACATTTCAAACTAGATTTTTGTAATATTTTCTTTATCACGGACACTCTAATATGTCATTGACCATAAGAAAGATAGCACAAGCACACTTTTCAAGCAAAACATTTTGTGTTAAGAATCAGTTTTTGTCCTATAATTTCTGTTTTTGTTTGTTTGTTTTGTTGTTGTTGTTGTTTTGTATTAGCAAGCTAAAGCAGTCATAAACCTAAAAAGTCCCAGCCATCAGGCAAACAAATGTTTGACCCTCTCTTATCACCAGATCAACATTCTCTCTTGTTTGTTGGGTTGTCAAGCAAACATCCGATTTTCCCATGAACGTCTGGTGGTGTTAATTCCTGGAAACATGGCTCTAGGGATTTTTTTTTTCTTTTCATTTTTTTAATTAATTGATTTATTTATTATTGATTTATTTACATTTGAGCTGTTGCACATATTAGCTGTTTGTCTCTGGAGGATAAACACTTGAAAATTATTCCAAAACCTCAGGAGAAAGGCTCAACCCTTTCTGTGGCTAAAACTAAGCTTTTGCTCATCCAGAGTGAAAAATGTGAGCCAACAGCTGTGCTCATTTAAAATCTTCAAAAGGAGTTATTTTTGGAAAGTGAGGATATAACTTTATTTGTCAAGTTTATTTAGCTAAAAAAGATAATATTATTATATCATATTATTTATTAAAATATTAAATGAGAATTATGGAGTAGTCACAGAGAAGTCACAGTCTTGACAAAAATAAAAAAACTAATAAAAAATGTTTTTTTAATTCTTTAATTTCATTTCATTCCAATTTTACTGCATGAAGGAACTTTTTTTTTAAATGCATTTATGTATTTATTAAATTAATTTTTAAAGTAAATGTATTTAATAAATAATAAAAGCATTTATAATGGCTGTATTTTGGTATTAATTTATGCTATGTAAATAAGTAAACTAAATTACAGTGAGGGGAATTTACATACGGAAAATAGCAATCACCAAAAAAAAATAATAAATCTGGGTACATTACAGAAAGAAAAATTGCTTAAGATATGTTTAACTGGCATAACATCACAATGCAAAACAACTTGTCAATTACTCATCCTCAAAAAAAAACAATAATAATTATAATCTAAAAGAAAGAAAGAAAAAGGGGGAAAAATCTGGATACATTACAGAAAGAAAATTTGCTCAAAATATGTTTAACTGTCATAACATCACAATGCAAAACAACTTGTCAATTACTCATCCTCAAAAAAAAAATATTATAATAATTATAATCTACAAAACAAAAAAAATCTTAAAAATACTGATTTTCTTTAAGCAACATTTATTCATATATTTCTTTCTTTTGGTTCAACTGGACCTGGACATTCTCACTTTTTCTCACTGTGAGACCCACCCCACAACTTACCTCCTAAGAGGCCAACAGCACATCAAGCAAATCAGCAGTGGGACGCTGAGAGCAGTGAGCTCATTTCCATATAGATGTAGCCCAACCCTGCCACCTGTGATTACCATTTGGTCTGTTCTTATACATGGCTGTTTTGCTCCCTGCCTCACACAGGGTTTGAGGCATTGACCTCCGGATGTCTCCATCCTAGACAATAACCCCCTGAAACTGTGACAGGCAAAACAGAGAAACAGCCTCCTGCCACCCACATGCCCCTCAACAACACTTTCTGTCTTCACCCATGAGCAAACCCCCAACCCCTATTTCCTGAATCATGACTGTCCACACACCCAAACACACAAATACTGTATACCATCCTAGAGAGTCAAAACATTCAAAACAGTTATGATTTTCCCTTCGCATTAACACTCTAGAAAATAAGCATGTCTTTCTATGAGGCTTGTATGTATAATGAATCATAAATGTATTCTTAATAAAGTGACTCTCATAGGTATTCTCCTAAAGGGACTCTTCTTATAAGTAAATAAATTAATAAATAAATAAATCTTTTACTTAAAAAAAAAAAAAAAAAATTCCTGTGGAACATATGCAGGCACATTTTCAAGTGACCTGACAACCCCCAAAAAAGAACAAATAAAATAAAACAAAAATGAATTAATTTAAATTAAATAGAATTAAATCATAATAGATAAACGCACAAAAACATAATTTAATAATAATTTTTTTTTTGCACTGGTCGATTTAAGGTCTTGTTTCAGACTACTGGAAAGACAACAAAAAGACATGTTTAATTATTTATTTTATTGTTTAATTACAATACATATCTTTAAAGGCCTTTTTTTCATGCACTGAGCCAGAAATCATCCATTTATTAGCACTTACATACACCAAACTTTACAGTTTTTACAGGTCTTTACAAAATGGTTTGATCATATATCATTCGTCCTGAGTTATATAACACATAATTCCTAGTGACAGTATTTGCTGATTTATGGAGAGATAAAAAGAGAAACCTTTAACTCTAATATGCCAACATCATGTCACAAGAATTTTAAACCTGGCTTTATCCAGAGTTCAGATTTATTTTCTGGAAATGTGTGCAAGTTAGTGCATATTCAATTCGATTGTGCCACATTTGCACATTTTATTATAACATAAAAAAAAGGAATTCAAAACAGTCGTCTCGATGTGCTGTGATTAATCAAGGAGACTTGCCTTAGGAGAAATAAAAAAAATAACAGATAAAAAAAAATTTGAATATCAAAAGAAATAGGACAGTTTGCTTTAGGTCTATTCCATGTAGGCCACAATTAGCTTGCAAGCAGCAAATAAAGGATGACTGCACAGCCCAAAGAGGGGTTCAGCAAACAGCACTCGGTTCAAACAAGTGGCCATGTGGCCATTCAATACACAAGGACATGTTTGAAAACGCGAGTGTAAACTTGAATGGGTCTGCCAAAGTCCAGCTCTCATTCAGCAAGTTACACTCAACGTGACCCAAAGCTCCCTGAGCCTCATTTTGGATGAAATGTAGGGGTCAAACTATGAAACTACAGACTATAACCACTAAAATTACAGCACATTGCACTACAGCCAGCTCTAAACAATCTTCTTTTAAAGGCACTAAGGTCCAGGTAATTCTAAATGTCCTTGTCGGGGCAAATTTGTAGATTAATCTTTCATCCTCGTAAATAACAGCAATTCACAGGAGAGCTAAACCCAACATGGTGCTAATATCTCTGCAGTGAATATACATCCGGAAAAGCTTTAAATGATGGTGGGTGGAGTTTGTTCGGCTCACACAGGGGAGTCTGTTTCAGCATGCTGGTAATTCGCAGAACTAGGTTGTTTATGCACCATGGCCTCATTTGAGGAGCAGCACCCCTCTCTCTCAGTGAATGGAAAGGTACCAGATACCTCCCCTTCGAGTAAATAGATTGTATCAATGAAAATAGTCAGCTCTCCTCCCCGCTGCCTTTTTATGAATGGATATACCTGGCAAAAACTAGCCACATTCATTTTTACAGCACATGAGGGATATAGAAACTGGATATAGCACTGCTGTAAACGTTTAGGCAACAATTTTGTTGTTCTCAGTGGAATTGATTTATCTATGTTTCAGTATAGCCAAAAAAACAAGGTTGACAATAGCAGTGCCAAAAGACATAGGGAATTCTATGAAATTAACAATCCATACTTGATTTACAGATGTTGTATGGTTCTACACTATGAAGCAAAAATGAAATAAAATGATATGCAATAGACTTTGACAAGTCTACATTAATACAAATGTATTTCATAGAAGGTACATTAAAATATATATTCGAGATGTATTGTCCTTCGTGCACCAAAAGTAGGGATCAAGGAAAGCTAAGGGCTAGTGTGTAAAGTATGCCATCTAGAGGATAAGATCTGAATATATGCATCCTTTTTTGAAGACCTCTTGATATACTGTATTTTATACATACACTGCCTGTCCAAAAAATTAATTATTAATTAATAAAAACAAAATAAAAAGCCTGATTTAGTTTAAATAAGCACATAAGAATTTAGAAATGAATCATTATTGCAGTGATTAATATGTTTCTCACATGTATGTTTGGCAACAATTCTTTTAACATCCTAACTGATGCAGTGTGTAGCTTTTCATTTCTCAAACAACTATCTTCCAGCATGGTTGTTTAAGAAATGAAAAGCTACACTGCATCAGTTCAAATTAAAAGAATTGTTTCAAAATATATATTAACATGCCAGAAACATATTAATCACTGCAATAATGATCCAATCTTAGACTCTTCAGTATTTGTTCAATATATATATATATATATATAAGCTTGGTGGGAAAAAATGATGTTGAAACAAACAAGTCATTCAGAAGTTATAGCTATACACCCATTAAACCATTTAAAATGGCTAGAAATCAGTATTCAGCAATTTGGCCAATCATAAGAGAGTTATTTACATATAGATCTCTTAAAGGTGCAGTAGCCAAAACCAAAAAGTGGGTGAGGTGGGGGAATGTAAATCTCCCAGAGGGCTCTAGCAGAAGTCAGCAAGGCAGCTAACATTTCTAATGGCAGCTTTTTTTGGGGCTGTCAAATTGATTAATTGCGTTTAATTGCATCCAAAACAAAGGTTTGTGTTTACATAATATATCTATGGGTATTGTGTATATTTATTTGTACATATAAATACACACACACACACACACGTACGTACATGTACATATTTAAGAAGAATATGTTATATTTATATATAAATCATATATAAAAAAGTATACATGTAAAATATTTTTAATGTATGTGTGTGTACTTATATATATACACATATAAATATACACAATACACATAGATATATTATGTAAACACCCACCTTTGTTTTGGATGCAATTAATCGATTTGACAGCCCTAATATGAAATATTATATTAACTATTATATACATGGGGAACTTCTGGCTGTGCGTTACTGATGTAAATCCCACTTAAATTCCACATCAAGTTTTACATACGGGATGTGAGACCCCCTTACCTGGTGCAGAGGACGGCCCATAGGTCTCCATCAGCTTCTGTTTAGTCAGGTGTTTTTTATGTTTCTTGCCACTGTAGTGCTGCTGAGCCATGAGGGGATTGTTGAAGGAAGATTGACAGATGGAGCAGAAGAGGTTTGATTATATCGATTTTGCATAGCTTGTCAGTGAGCTACAGTTCTGTGTAGTAAATGCTGCTCCATCTGAAAGCACATGAGATTTACTACTGATTACAGAACGGGCTTTACTGACAAGATGAGCATGACAATCGCATTCGATTAATCGTGCAGCCCTAGTGTAATCTATTAACTTTGCATAAAAATCCATCTTTTACTTAAGTACTAGATATGGGTGTCATACCATACAATATTTTTATTATGACTTACTTTGTATTTAATGTGAATTTAATAAAAACAAGGTGGGAGCTAGTTTACTAGAAGAACTGTCATATTGTGACGTGAACACAAATTTCTCTCATTCATAGTGATTCTCTCATTCCTCTACTATATTCGGTCTCTGATAGTACCATGCACAGTGATCTCTGTTGTATACTGCAGACTTTTTCAAACTCAATAGGCAGTCTGTGTATTCCAAGCATGCATACATACATAAAATACAGAGCATAGTATGAGTAGCATGCTAGTATGCCATTGTGAAAACATCTTGATATGCTTGCTATCAGTATTTAGTCCTCAAATCCACATTTTGTTCTGTTTTAGCTGAGGAACAAAGTAAATGGTGCGATCATTTCAACTTTGTCCGTGTGAGTGTGAATTCATACCTGGTAATGTGCAAGTTTCTGGGATTCTGAGATTAAGACAGCACTACACACTTTACACTGTGAATCAGAGAACAAGTCACTGTGCTCTTTTATCATTCGGTTCACTGAAAGACAGGTCAGCATCAGAAACAGTTACTACAAAGGGGCATTTCATTGTTATATAAAACATATGCACACAAAACAGCTTTGAGGCAAAGTATGCAATGCTCAAATCAAACCTAAAATAGACTTTCTTTGCATTTAGCTGCAAAAAAAATCTGACTTTGTCTTACATCGACCTTGGATACACTATTCTTTCTAGTAGACACTAAAGAAGCAGTCCTTAGAGCACTGAGGAGCTTGAGCTATGCTACCATGCTTTACACTCTCAGGCACTGTACATTCTCGGAATAAATGTCATGTGCTACTGATAAATAATGCATCGCCATTTATTCTAAATGAATGTCGGCGATCTCTTACCCTCGGCCGCCCCTGAAGGTAAATATGGAAAATCTCCATTCGGCTCTTGCTGCGCCATGTTAGCAGGAGGCGGATCGCGCATGCGCAGACGATACATGCGCTGCGCAAGTCTCTTCATACCTACCGTATTTCCAGTAACCATTTTTTTAAATCTATTTACAAACAAATATGTGAACCATTTATCCTGCATGCTTCACAAAATGATTTCTATACACGTCTACGCACCCACTAAGCAATGCAGATGGCGTAAGGATCCTTAAGAGAATCAATACGGGGTAAATATGTCTCGTTGCGATGCGAGTTGGTTTATTTAGCTAAAGATTCATTACTTTCTAGCATTTTACCAGTTTTATGTGTTATTAATGCACACTCTAAATTTCGCTTGCGACCCTAAATTTGACAAGAGTGTGTAATTATTTGCACCTCAAATCTTTTACCGCTCGCCTGGGTGTGATTACAAAAGCAACGTGGTTGGTGAATTAATCGTTTTCTGGAATCGAATCTTTCCGTGAACCGATTCACAAAATCATTTCAGAAATGGGGTTGAAAACTCACCGAACAGCAGTTTTGTTGTGAGTGCAAATTAAATGTAGTTTCGAAATGACTTTTTAATTAAGGGATTTATGAACTGAATTTTGGCTTCAAACTGAATTGGTACACTTAAAGTTACAATGGACATCCTTAACGGATTACTTTAAAAATATGTGACCATGTGACTTAATCGATTTTATATCCATTAAATTTAGTGGAGTTTTAAAAGCCTATTTTGTTATTAAAACCCTATGGTGTTTCTGTTAAATGATTGTAATATATGTTTGTAATGTAATTTATTTTTATGTAGTTAATAATATCGCATCTTATTTGGATTAACGTTGTCTTAAAAAAATTAATAAATGATGTAATGACGAAAAAGAATCACTGAATCGCTTATGAACCAGTTCTTTGAAGCAAACCGATTCGCGGAAATGACTCGAACTTCCCATCAAAGCGCGCGCTGTCGGTTGTGACGTAACGTCTTTCCTTGTTCCTCGTGTCACGTGACGACAACCGCTTGTGAAAATCTCTTGGAATCGAAATCCTTATTTTTGGAGCCTTTGATAGAACGGACTAACGTCGTGTTCTCGAATATGAGTATGAATATTGAACGCGTTCAGTAAAAGTGTATGAGCAGTTAGCTGAGGAAGAGAGTGTGTCTAAAGGTGTACATAGAGAGAGAATTAATGTTGTTGAGGTCGCAGCATGCCCCGCCGGAAGCGCGCAGCGGATGAAGGCGGAAGAAGAGCGAAAGTCAGCAGAGTGGAGCACAATGATGAAGAGACCCTGGTCATATCTGATTCTGAACATGAAGAGGTACTGTGTATGCAGTAGGCAACCACATACTGTGTGTTTGGCTTCGTTTAAAGGTTTCTGTGTGGTTTAAGAGTTGTCTAAATGGGATAGCAACAACTTATCTTAAAGAATTACCATGGTAATAATTGTCTCTAAAAAAAATCACAGTTAGTACCAGATATATTCAGTATTGGGTATGTTGTGCTAATTTCTGTTCCAGTAACGTCACCAAATAGAATTGTGAAAAAAAAGAAGATTTTCCAAAAATTCCCTGTCTTCCATTGATTTGCCAAACAGATAATTTTGCCCCAAACTCAGGCCACTGGCTGAGCCAGTGTTTCTGTGAGAGTAATTTAATTTAAAAAAAAGAATAATTTTATGGTAAATTATAATAAAGGGGTCATATGATGCTTTTTTAAAGATTATTATTTTGTGTATTTGGTGTAACAGAATATGTTGACATGCTTTCATGTTCAAAAACACATTATTTTTCAAATACTGTACATTATTGTAGGTCCTCTATGCTCCGCCTCTCTCAAACGCTTCGTTTTCTACAAAGTCCCTCCTTCCGACAAGCGCAGTCTGCTCTGATTGGCCAGCTGACCCGGTGCATTGTGATTGGCCGAACACCGTAAGCACTCGTCGGAAATGTAACGCCCCTTACCATAATCGCGAGCTTCATCTTTCAAAATAAATGTAAAGACAGTTAACATTGTTATTAGTTTTCCCATCGGTTCAAGCCAGAAAGGGGAACAGAGTCGCGTGACAGACACAGTGATGAAGCTGGTATGTGTTTGCAGTACACAAGCCACGGTTAAGACAGCTGACTCCACTGTGATGTGACCCTGTCTCGCGCGCGCTCTCTCTCTCTCTGCGCGCACACACACACACAATGCACAAAACTCCGCATTTGAACAGTCAATAGCAAATACTTAAACTAATAACAAAACAGTAGCTGATTCAGAAGCGCCAGATTGTCATAGCAAAGTCAGAATTACCTCTTCTCCTAGGTTCACGAAACGCTCGTCCATAAAATGCATTGCTGTTCTGTTGTAAGTAATCTTAAAGATTCCTAAATGCATCTACTTCTGGAAGGCCAAATAAAGTGCTTTTGCTTTCGCCTAGAAACACACAGCGTCTCCCTGACATGGCTGCTTCAACACTAACTGCGGTTACTGAAACCACGCCTTCTTTCTTTGCATGCACAATTGGGGCGGCATTATGCTAATATTTCCACATAGTGAGGTAGATATGTGGGGGCGTGTTAGAACGAGCCGTTTTAGGGGGGCGTGGCAGAGTCTTAACTTTGATAAAGAATATCTCTTTGGTTTTGAGACTTTAGTCTTTGCAACTTCAGGGATCTTATCTCTGCACAATCAGCTTGTAACACTCCAAAGAGAAAGGAAAACTTGAAATCGCATCATATGACCCCTTTAATAAAAAAATAATAATAATAATAATAAACAAACTTTATATTTGACCTTTTTATCCTCAGGAGGAAGATTGCTCATTTAAACGGTTCACTCGGACAGCCCGGTGGAAACAAAGGGGGAATCAGTCTCATCTACAAAGTACCGAAACTCAGAATTTAACAACAAATCATTAATTGTGCCTGAAAACTTAGGTGTGCTTTTCATTCAGACCTGTTTGTGCTGTTCTACTTGTGATTTCAGAGATGACAGAAGAAGAGATGCTGGACCTGGCCATGAGACTGAGCGCTCAGGAAGCAAACAGTGCTGCCCAGAGACAAGAGCTGGAAGACAACGACATACAAAAAGCCATAGCGGAAAGTCTTAATGTTGGTAGAAACATTTATTCTCATAAAGGCTGTAATACACTATATGACGTTTAAAATTGGAACAGATTTCAAAACACTAGGCATCGTGCACTTTTGTAACTTGTAAATGGAAAAAAACTGAGCGTCATACACTAAACAACTGAGGATCACACATTACCAGACTCTTCAAGTCGTTCCGAAAACAACAAACTCACACAGAAACGTGTGCATCTTTGCCACGAGATGCATTAGAAATGAAAAAAATTAATTGTAATATCTCAAAATATCAAACATGAGTCTGTGCCCGTTATACACTATGTGAATTTCAGTGAAATCTGTCAACTCCGACAGCCCAAAATCTTCAGACTGGCTCTGACTTTCATGAAGTAGCACTGGCTTGTCTAGACTGCAAAAAATGTTGTATTCCAGCCTTAAATTTTACAAGTCTCTTTTATAAGTTTGACCAATCAAAGAGCAGGAGGGTATTAATAAAAAATGCTGCTTGTATTTCTGCAGGAAAGCACTGTAAAAGCATTGGAGGATCAAGATGAAGCAGCCAGCTCTACAGATCATCCACAGCAGAATGTAACAAATGCGATATCACACTTGAGACAAAAACTGTCATTCTCCAGCCGAGATCAGACACACAGTGAGAATGAAACGACTAGTCCGCTGCCAGAAATGCCTGATCTATCACAGACGACCTCCTCACATCTTTCAATGAGGAGTTCCCCAGCTCAGGTCTCCAGTCCTCCTGCTAACACTCAGGTTAGTTGTTAAGAAAGGGTTTCACATTTTATCATCAAATTATTGTTTTCTTCTAAACCGTATAAAACCTTATTATATTTGATATGCACATTTCTAAGGATTCTAAATTATCAATATTATCAAAACTTGGTTGATCTGTTGTACACAATCTTCTATATGCCCCCTGTTGTCTGATTTAGAGTTAAATTTTTATTAGACCCTTTATTATAATTATAATTCTAAAACTGTCCCCATCAGGTTGTGGTACACATGTCTTTTTTTGCTGTGAAATCTTTACTGATGTTTAAAGTAAATTTAAGAGTAGATCTTATATTGTTAGTACTATTTTAAGATGCACAGTTACTAGACTGAAGCAACTTGGGTTTACTGGATTATCCATATATAATGTTTTAGAAAAATCATATAAAAATGTAAATATTAAATATGATACATCAGGCTTTTGAGGATTTGTACATCTCTCAGTAATCATTGTAATTTATTGCATTACATGATGCAATGTTGCAATGTTTTGCCTTGGGCATAAAAATGAAAAAATAATAATAATAATTCAGTCGGTTCACTCCAAGCAGAATCAGTATTTTAACATATATGTTAATGCATTCCTTCTGTATTATTACCATTCCGAAAACCTCTTGAGTAAAAATGTAGAAGAAAAACATTTAATAACGTTATTATTATGGTTATAATAATAACAATAATAATAAGTACAGCGTTTTCTTTACACAAAAAAAAAAAGAAAACAGAGAGAGAAGAGAGTCTTAGTCTGGTATCTTGCATCTAGTCAGCCAATACAGCATCATCTTTTCTAACAAGATTTTGGCCAAATGTATTAAAAGAGAGCAAAAACTGTCAATGTTTTAAATTAAAATATAAAAAAATATTTTCTGCGTGGTTAAAAAAAAAAGCTACTCGTATAAAATTGCATTTTGAGAGGAAAAGAGATAATTTCACATGTCTTAGTTTATTATTACATTCAGAATGTAGGCTAAAATACTGGTAAATAAAGCAAAAGGTTTACAAACATTATAAACACAGCTATAGGTTATTATAATTCCCTTAGTTCTCTCCAGAACAAATCCTCTAAAGTTAACAGTGTTATGGCTAAGTAAATGTCCAGCCAAAACGAATGAATTTAAAGAGAAGCTGAAGCCTACCTCTCTCATTCGGCGCAAATCCAAATGTTTCCATATTCGTGACATATCTGGATGCTAAAACATCATCATCCTTCACATAAGCTATAACAGCACAGTGAGGCGATGGTCACGCTGAACGGCACAGATTGTACTATAGACTATTTAAATTGAGCGGTGTAATTTTTATGTTTCTTTAACTGTATTT